CTAAAGGGAAGAGAGAGAGACTGAAACTGAAGCTGTTCTGCTTTATAAAGAGAATTCCAATACCTACATTAACTGAATTTATGGACCCTGATTTGAATGGCCGTGAGATAGCAAGTCTTGAGAGACTGACATTCCATAAATGAGGACTTCTTATTCTTTGAGGTCTGAATAACTAAAGAAACTAATAATCTTGACAGAAAACGAATGGAAAGGATTTAAGATACAGCACAGGTACATAGCTGAATCCCTGACAGTTGGATTCTCGTTCCTTAATGTAGATTAATAGTGTGTATATTCTTTATATCTTTGAAATCTTTGATCTAATGTCTTAAAAAAAAACACTCTTCAGTTTTTTTTAAAGAGAATTTTTTAAAATATTTGTTTATTTTTCTTATTGGCGGACACAACATCTTTGATTGTATATGGTGCTGAGGATCAAACCCGGGCCCCCACACATGCCAGGTGAGCACGCTACCGATTGAGCCACATCCCGAGCCCACACTCTTCAGTTTCATCATAGTTTTCTAAATAGACTCACTGTTCAGTTGGTGGACCCAACCTAATTTCATTTTAAGATTGGGAGCCATCTCGTCACAAAGTCATGAAAAGTTAATTTCTATTTTACCATGAATTACTGAGATTTCTAAACTTTTTTGGAATTCCTTCCGGTGCCTTGAACTCACCCATGCCTGGCCTTCCCTGACCAGATAACAACCCTCTCTGAAACCTCAGCAGTGCCTCATAAATTCTAATATTGGGATCTCAATTTATTCCTTACCTTGAAATGTTAAGCCATGTAGATCATTAATCTACTATCTGCCTTTGTATTATGCTTGTCAAAATCCTGTTAGATATAAGTTCTCAAGACACCCACCTTTGCAACCTTTTGTGCTAAAAAAAACCCCACCTTTTTCCTGGAGATCTGGGGGCTATTCTCTGGCCTGGGATTTCGGATGAGATAGTCGCTGGTCAGCTGTTGTGTACACAAAACAAGCTTGCTTTATTTGATTTAAAATTGGAGTCATGGTTCAACATAGTATACTGTTTACATTTTTGTATTTTTTTTACAGTATGAGGATTAAACCCAGGGATACTCTACCACTGAGCTACACCCCCAGCCCTTTTTATTTATTTTTTATTTTACTTTATTTTTATTTGTTCTACTTAGTTGTATATGACAGTAGAATGCATTTCAATTCATCATACCCAAATGGAGGGCAACATTTCAATTCTCTGGTTGTATAAGATGTGGAGACACACCAGTTGTGCAATCATATATGATGTCCATCTCATTCTTTATTTTTATTTTTGACACAGGGTCTTACTAAGTTGTCCAAGCTATCCAAAAGCTTGTGATCCTTCTGCTTTGGCCTCCTGATATAGCTGGAATTACAAGTGGTAGCCATCACGTCTGGCCAGCACACTGATTTTCACATTATTTAAATTTTTTTTTTTTTTTTTAAGAAACCTCTAGGGGTTTTAAGAAACCTCTAGGGATATTGTGGTACATGCCTGGGATCCCCAGGCTGAGGCTGGAGGATTGCAAGTATGAGGCCAGTCTGGCAACTCAGTGAGACACTATCAAAATAAAAAGGTTTGGGGATGTATCTCAATCCTCAGGACCAAAACACAAAATAAATAAATGAATGAATACATATATAGAAAATAAAAACTGCCGGACACAGTGGCGCACACCTGTAATCCCAGCAACCTGGGAGGCTGAGGAAGGAGGATCTCTAGTCTCAGCAACTTAGTGAGACCTTATGTAACCCACTAAGACCCTGTCCCTAAATGGAAATATGAAAAAGAGCTGGGAATGGGGCTCAGTGGTTAAGCACCCCAGGGTTCAATCCCCCCCTACCAAGAGAAAAAAAAAAAGAAACCCTCCTAGGGTTGTTAGTTAAAGACTGTAGGACATGGCTGTAGTTAAGATTAGCTAGCAAGGACTGAAACAAAGAAATATAAACAGAATAACTAAAAACCAAGTGCCTCAAGGATATGAGAAAACAAGACACACATATTTGCAAAACATCTGATAAAGGACTATTATTCAAAATATACAAAAAACTAAAAGCACAACAAAGAAAACAAATAACTCAATTTAAAAATGCTCAGAAGATCTGAATAGATACTTCATGAAAGATAACATACAGATGGCAAATAAGCATATGAAAAGATGCTCAACATCATATGTCTTAAGGGACTTGCAAGTTTAAACCACAATGAGATACCACTATGTCTTTTAGAATAGTTGAAATCCCAAACACTGTCAACACCAAATACTGGCAAGCATATGGAGCAACAGGAACTCTTATTCATTGTGAGTAGGAATGCAAAAGAGTACAGCTATTTCAGAACACAGTTTGGCAGTTTCTCATAAAATGAAACATACCCTTATCATATGATCCAACTAGGTATTTACCCAAATGGATTGAAATCTTACTTCCAGCTATGAGTCATCTTTTGGGATCTGCAACACAGGGGATGCTGGGCTTGAACACAATTATATTATTATTTTTAGTACTAGGGATTGAACTCAGGGGTACTCGACTACTGAGCCTCTATTTTGTACTTTATTTAGAGACAGTGTCTGAGTTGCTTAGCACCTCCCCATTGCTGAGGCTGGCTTTAAACTCCCAATCCTCCTGTCTCAGCCTCCTGAGTCCCTGGGATTACAGACATCGGCCACTGTGCCCAGTGAACACAATTATTCCTTTTTTTTTTTTTCTTTTTTCAGTACTGGAGATTGAACCCTGGGGTACTTTATTACTGAGCTATATCCCTGTCCTTTTTATTTTTTATTTTGAGATAGTTTGTCCCTAATTTGCTGAGGTTCTCACTAAATTACCCAGGCTGGCCTTGAACTTGCCATTCTCCTACCTCAGCTACCCAAGTCCCTGGGATTGTAGGCATGTACCACCACCCCACCCTGCTTGAACACACTCATTCTTACATGGAATCCTGCCCCTCTGCAGACCAAAGAGCAAACTCCAAGTTACTACCCTGAATTCCCATGTTCAAAGTTGTCTTTTGTCCTTGGCAAGACCCTCCTGATACTTCTTTTTCTTAAAAAAAAAAAAAGAAAAAATGGGGTGGGGGGTGGAATATAACTTCAGATTTACAGAAGTGTTGCAAGAATAGTACAAAGAATTGTTGCATACTCTTCACCTAGATTCCTCAAATGTTAACAATTTCACTGCATTTGCTTTATTTCTTTCTTCCTCCCCTTCTCTACTCACACTCTTCCACCCTGTACTATTTGGGAACAAATTGCAAACATGATGCTCCCTTACCCCAAAATATTTCAAAGTGTATTTCCTAAACACAAAGTCATTTTCATATATAACTATAGTATAGCTTCCAAGATTAGGAAATTAATACCGATACAAAACTATATAATCTTCAGACAGTATTCAGATTTTGCCAATTGTCCTGATGATACTCATTATAATAGAAGAATGATCTGCATCATGCATTGTATTTGGTTACCATGTCTCTTTATCCTATTTTAACTGGAATAGCGTCTCAGTCTTTCTTTGTTTTTCATAATATTTATATTTCTTAAGAGCACAGGCCAGGCTGGGCACTGTAGTGCATAACTTTAATCCCATGTACTAGAGAGTCTAAGGCAAGAGAATACTAAATTCAAGCCCAGCCTGGGTAATTTAGCAAAAGCTTGTGTCAAAATAAAAAATAAACTTAAAAGGGCTGAGGCTATAACTCAGTGGTAGAGCGCCCCCAGGTTTAATTCCTCAGTTAAAAAAAAAAATCCTGTCTAATATTTCTTGTACAAGAAACCCTCTATTACAAAGTAGGCAGAATGGAGATGTTTATCACCAAACTGCAAACAATCCTTCAAAATTCAGCTTATTTATGCTCATATTTTTGCATTTAGTAGTCTCTTTATTTGTTGGTACCTCCAAAGACCAGCTCGATGCTTGACACATAGCTGGTTTTTATAAATGTTGAATGAATAAATGAAATTGACAGGCTCCAGGAAGGGGTGGATAAGAAGGGCTGGAGGAGGAAAAGTCCAGGTTGATGATGGATTTCAGGTGTCCCTTCCTGATATGGAGAGCACTGCATTTGCAGAGGAAGAAGACGGGAAACTTCCAGGTGTCTGGGCTGTTTTTCTCTACCCCACTTGCAGCAGAGAGACAGTATATCAGAATTGGAGGGCAGTTGTTTGATTACAGGTGAGCTGGGTTCCTTGTGGTCCCTACATTTAAGGCAGCCTTATAAAAATCACCTCTTCTTGCCACTGCATCAGGAGAAAGAGAGAGGTGATGTGCTGGAGTGGAGAAAGGAGGAGAGAGGCAAAAATCTGGACACTGAAGGACTCATCAAAGTTAGGAGTGACTTATCTGTGCAAAACCCAGCGGAAACACTCATCACCTGCTAAGTGTTTACCCTGTGATGTCAAGGAAAGTGCACAAAAGCGAAAGGAAATCCTAGGCCAAAGTTCTAGGTGTTGAGAAGTTCTGAGCAAGGAGCCAGTCGACAGAAAGGAGGTAGCTGTCAGAACAAAATAGAACAATATTTCACAAAGGAGACTTGGGGAGGCAAGCAGTAAAATATCAGGGACAAAATTTAAATGGAACAGGGAAAATTTGATCTAACTCCCCTCTCCCCAAATCACAAACCAATTATAATTAAGAAAAGTAGGCACAGGACAAATGAGCTGCTGAAGGCAAAGTCTCTCATTAAAATGCAAAGCCAGTTTTCTCAGGAAGCTCCTATTTCCTGCTCACTTTGTTTGCTTGGAAAACACAGTAGAGTGGTCCATCTGGGGTAATTAATTCTGGGGTAAAAATGTCAGAACCTAGGTAAACAAAGATCAACACCAAGATAACAAAATATGAAAGAACAGAAACTAAAAAAGAAACCAAAGGGATAAAATTCTGAACAAAATTCAGAGGATTCCAGGGATAAACATGTTCTGTTGTCAATGTTTTTGAATGCATGGCCTGGGAGGGCCCTTGTTCTTTCATATTTAAAAATTTTTTTTTTTTATGTATATCCTTTGTGTATTTTAGCATATTTTACCTTTAAAACAAATTTTGTACAATATCAATGTATTTCGGAGTAGTTGAACAGTGTTTTTAAAAAACAAAAAAAGCTGAGTATATACTAAGCCATAAGACTCAGTTTCGTGCCGTTATCATCTGACTACTGAAGAAAAAAAGACCTGAATTACAATAACCCATCTAGCAAAATTTTCCAATTCAAATTAGAAGGGCTTCAATTTACAAATCTTTTGAAAGGGCAATATTAATGCAATTCACATCAGAACATTCAGTTAATACAATTAGCAAACAAACCACAATTTTGCTATATGACAGAACTTTCTACTGGTCTTTCAATTCCTTCAGTCTTCTGATTGCAGACTTGACTGTGACAGCAGAAGTGGTGCTGTGAAGAAAAATTCAGTTTCCAATAAATTAAGCATATTAAAGTATAAAATGTCAAATAAAGCTACCTCATTGTTACAGGAAAATCCTAAAGACTTTCTTAACTTCTGGAAAAAGACTACTTGCAGTTAACCCAAAGATTTAATTAATATTAAAACTATTAATTCAGAAATCAGAGGCTCACAAACTATACTATGGCATCTCTTAAGAACCACACCTTTAGGCTCTTACAGAATTAGAAGTCAACTGCATATAACTAATCTCTTAAACAGCATTTTTTTTTAAAAAAGGAGAGGAATAGCTTGCCTAAATTCATCAAATGGGAATACATAGAAGAAATGAATAAAGTTTCAAGCCAATACAATAAGATAGGTTTTTTTGGGGGGGGAGGGGGGATTGTTACTGGGAATTGAGTCCACAGCTTAGCACATACTTAGGCCAAATTATATCACTGTTACCACTAAGCCACATTAACCCCCTGTAACTCTGGCCTTTTTGAGACAGGTTGCTGAGGCTGGCCTCAAACTTACATCTTACTGCCTCAGCCTCCCAAGTAGCAGGGACTATAGGCATATAAAGATCAAACAATTCTTTAAGCTTTTTCAAAACAGAGATATTAAAATGACTAGAGTTGAGCGAGGTAGCTCAAACTTGTAATCCCAGAGACTCAAGAGGCTTAGGCAAGAGCACTGCAATTTTGAGGCTAGCCTCAACAATTTAGCAAGATGCAAAGCAACTTAGTGAGAACTTGTCTCAAAAAGGAATGGGCTGGGGTTGTGGCTCAGTGGTAGAGCGCTCCTCTAGCACGAGCAGGACCAGGATTCGATCCTCAGCACATTGAAAAAAAAAAGGAATGGGGATGTGGCTCACTGGTTAAGCACCCCTGGGTTCAATCCCTGGTACCTGCCCCCAAAACCAACAACAACAAAAATCGAACAAAATAGTGACCACAAATATTTAGAACAAAATTCAGGAAAAGTCACAAAACTATTCCATGGCGGGCTTAAGAATGCTCATTCACTTTACTATCGGGGCTAAGTACTCTTGACATCATTTTACTGTTTGTCACCACAAATTAAAACGAGATGCTTAAATATACATCCATATTAACATTTTCCACTATTTCAGTTTAAGGGCAAAATTAACTTAAAAATACATATACATCATATTGCATATGGCTAGTTTATTTTGGACAGCACAGATCTACACACTGGCTTGAGTAAAAAGTCAGGCTCTGAGAATTCAGAGTCAACAAACAACTCCACTTCTAGAAGCCTTTAAGGGCAGCTATAATTTCTGGAAATGGATACACTGAAGAGTCAAAACAAGCAATACCAGCACATATATATATATATATATAT